TTCTAATTCTATATAGTAACCCCTTAGAAATTTTTATAAATGTGCCCTAAAATGTTGCAAAAATCGGTGGATATGATTTACGACCATGTTTTTCTATTTTAAATAATTGAATTCGAACGGTCACACAATATAAAAAAGATCACCAATCGATTTTGTCACATGTGACAAATTCAAATGTCCACTATGCTACTTTCCTCAGATTCTTCACATGAAAATTGTTCTAAATTAGTTTCTAATTGATTTTCATTGCCAGATGAGCTATTATTTTTTTTTTGACTAAAGCAAGTCTATTTAAATGTGCTTTTTTCTTTGTAAATTTAAGCATGATTAATTGGTAAATTTCAAAAAAGGGTTAGATTTTTTGAACAAAAAAAAACATGTTAAAAAATTGATTTGATATTTAATCACGTAATATGTATAACATGGAATTAAAGTTAATTCCAGCCAAATTTAGCAATTTTGGTAAGATTTATGGTAAACAAATTGAGGTCAAACATAGATTAATGATAATTTTTAAAAGCTCATAGCTCCATCTAGAATGTGATTTTAAAAAAAAACTCTTCATTTTTTGTTAATTCAAGCTTCAAACCAACTGTTTATGAAGAGCCATTTGATTTATTTTATCTGCTGACATACTAGATAGAATTAGAAATTTTCATGTAAAAAAAGTTGCTGGGATTAGGCTAGATGCACCCCATCTACTTTATAATCTGTGATTTGAGAATTAAGTTTTGTAGAAATTGTACATTTGCATGAGAAATATTTTACAGAGTAATGTAAATAAAAGTCATAAAAAAATATATGCTGATATATGTGCAGTCAATGATCTTTTGGTTGTATCTTTGAGAATTTCATCCATTCTTATGGTCACACTTAGATGACTCAAAATGCTCTTTATAATATGAATATCAGGGTATAAAAATCCTTCATACTGTTCTGCTTGAATAGGAAGAGTGTGGGACAAGTAATTAAATCTTGATGTTAACCCATTCAAACTATAAACTAGTGTTCTGAATGGGTTGGGTCAGGTCGGGTACCCAGGTCAGATATAAAAAATTTCTCAAGTATCAATTAATATATGTAATTTATTTTGCTCATTTGAATTTAAAAAAAAAATACAATGTGTAAAATAAGTGGATTTTTAAAAAAGAAAAAAAATTAAAAATTTGATTTACTTAGTAATATTATTATCTCTAATCCAATTTTTCAGGCACATGCATGCTTGAATTATTTCTTTCTCCAAACAACAACTTTTTTTTGTGATTAGGTCACCACCACCTGAAAAGATTCTTTCAACAGATACACTTCTACCTTACATTAAATAATATACATATACTTATTTATTTTTACAAATTAAATAAAAGATATTAAAAAAAGATATCTTACCTGGAATTGCAAGATAGTCATGTGCCATCTTGGAAAGATTTGGAAAGGTGGCTTCATGAACCTATCATATTTAATGAAAATAATAATTAATGTTGAAA